TTTTGGTCTTTAGAGTTGTCGAGTCATCTTGGCAGCCGTACCTGTCCACAAACCTACCACCCCCTCCCCACTCTTGCTTCCCGCATCCTGACTGGTCAGTTGGGGAACACTCTGACTCTCTGGGGCAATGGGTTTCAGCGTTCAGCACTTTTCTCAGTGACCTTGAGGTAGTGCAGGATGCGACCTCTCAGCTTCCAACAGAGCTGAACTGCTCAACCTCTATGGCCCCAACAGCCAAGGGGGATGAGGTGGATGCAACGAAAGCAAATGTGGCTGGTGGGGGCTTGGTGGGGGAGGGGGTAGGTAGAAGATGAAGCTGTCAACCACATGGTTGCAGAATGATCACCTTTAGTGGCGTTGGAAGAAAGCGGATGTTGCCTGTTTTCAGGGATACTGTATTTTGTTTAATCTAACTTCCATTTCCCTTGAAAAACGGAAGAAGGGACTCTGCTTAGGTGCCTTTCTACGCCTGTTACGTTAGGTTAGAGAATGATAGTTGTGCAGACTTTGTCTGTGTCAGCCTGTCAGGTGTATGCCTCTGCTGCTGACTATGTCAATCTGAACCTGTGATATAACCTGTGTATGATTTCCCCATGTTTCTATACCACTTACTGTATTACTGTACATATCTGAAGGGTCTGTTGGAATTATACAGAGCAGACAGTGACTCAGTTTCTTGTTGAATCATTGGGCCCCAAGGATTGCAAGGGCAAACAGGGCATGATTGTACTGATGGTATTTACTGTGCTTTGTGTGTATCTGCTGTACAATTTGAAAGCACCACATATTACACATATCTTGTATACATGAATTACGTTTTTATTTTTGGATAGGATCACCTTTCAGTTTGATCTTACATTTGATACTTTAAATAATTACTTTGGAAAATGGTAGCACCAGGGGCAAACATTTATTGCCTATTATCTGATTGATTCCAATTCAGATTTGTGCTCTAGTCTATACGACTAATTGCTCATCAATACTTTTTGAATGTGCAACGGTTGTCTGTTTTTCTATGTTGCCAAATGAAACCAGGGAGGATAATATAGTAGCATACCATTTCCATACAAACCACAGCTATTCAAATCAAATATGATGACGGCATTTAATCCAAAAGAGGAATTTACAGAATTCAGCTTTCATGATGATGATAATACTCTATAGATATATCATGTTTATATGTATGTACATATATGGCACTTGATGACATAAAATCAAGAAAATCCATTTCCTCACAAACAAAAGCAATGGGCGCTTGGGTGTAAATAAAAGAAAGAACAAATCAATTTAAAAGTCCCAAATGTAAGCATTTGCAGCACATCCCCCCAATTGAGTGATCACATAGGTTAAGGTCAATGGTGCAAGCTCAGGCAACCAAAACAATGACAGTGCTGACATAAAAGATGTGAGATGAGTAATATACTGGAAGAATTTATATGCATTTGAGTACATTTGACTCTAAAACTGCAAAATAATGTGTGTGTTTCATTTGCTATAGTGGTATGTGATGTGTAAAACCAGTGGAATGTCGTAAAAACACAATCACAGCACAAATCGGATATATTTTGGCTCATTATTTATACATAGTGCAAGTATTTACTCCATGTTCAACAGCTGAAGTGAACGACAGAGTGAATATCAACACATAAATTATATGCTTTTAAGAAGCACTTTACAAAATATAGGCTAAACCATTATCTATAAACGTTGCATCAGTGCCTTCTCATAAATATATGACAAACAAACGCTTGGTCCGTTTGTTTTTTAGTTGTCAGTAAAAGACAAATAAAATCAATCTACCCCACCTACTTCGCAAACGAAGTAAGTGTGATAAAATATACACCACATTCTTTATTAAATATATTCGAATTCTTTGTACAATTGTTCCATTCAGTGGTGCTGAAATGGACAGCTCCCGCATTTAAGCCGCATGCACACAAAAAGAAAGAAATCACGCTACATATTAGCAACTTCTTCGGTGGTTTATCTACTTCTGTGTCTGATACCGCACAGCAAAGCAATGCACAAGTTGGAAAAATCCAACGCATGCGACAGACTGCACGCTGTCCCACGCACCGCAACCTTGTCCAGCAGATGAGTCGCAGTGGTGCGGATTGCCTCCCATTTAAATGAATGGACCTCCGCGAGAACCCATACAGTTTGACGCAACCGGTGTTCACGAGGCTTGTCTACGGCCTTCTCAATATGCTACACATAGGCAGAGTCACTTGATTGAGTGCGGCCGAAATTGGGCATGCTCATTCTAGGCATGTCTTTGTTACGGATCTCGTAGATGGACTTCCTCCTCGCCTGCACGCCTTTGACAGCGACTTTGATCTTCTTCCATCCAAGATGATTGAGTTCAGCCAAGTTCAGAAGCACACAGACGCCACTGACCGCAAACATGAAGACCAGAAACACAGTCTTCTCCGTGGGTCTTGAAACGTAGCATTCTACATCTTTGATGCAGGGGTATCGATCACACTCATATACCGCAGGGACATTGAATCCGTACAGGAAATATTGACCCACCAGGAACCCTATCTCTAGAGCGTTTCGGAAAACCACTTGGATGATGTAAAATCTTGAGATGCCCTCCTGCCTCCTCATTTTAGACTTTCCACTAGTTCTCATGGCCGAATTTGGGATGTCCTTCACCTCCAAGCAGTCGGGCTCGGCTTCTTTCGTGGAGTTTTCCGTGTTCTGAAGTACTCCATTTACAATAGTGTTTTTGATCTTTTTGCTGTCGTCTCTTTTGATGGAATCTTGGCGCTTGTCCAAGGAGAGGAACACGGTGGAGTATCCCCGCTCCAAGCGCTCCTTTTGCTTGGCAGACTGGTGCACGGAGTAGGTGATGAAACAGAGACTGGGGGTGCACACCAGAATAATCTGAAACACCCAATATCTGATGTGGGAAATGGGGAACGCCTTGTCGTAGCAAGCCTGGTTACAGCCGGGCTGCAGGGTGTTGCACACAAACATGGACTGCTCGTCATCATAGACGGTCTCTCCAATGATCGCAACGATTAGAATCCGGAAGATCACCACCACTGTTAGGAGGATCCTACAAAACAAACAAGCACAAAATCAAAATGTTGCTGTTTAGATGTGCAGAGATGATCGGTTTAATCATAAAACAAACAGATAGACAATTAGCGATGGCATAGTAATGCTGGCTCTAGTGCACTAAACGGGCGATTGGGAGCTGTCCAGGGCTGAAAGCCACTAGTCAGTTCTGAAAGGAAAGCTCTACAGCATTATTCACCTCAAGCGACAGCTCTCTTGTCATAAAATGTGCAAATGTAGTGTTTCCAAAAACAATTTTCGTGAATGTTATGTTTATGCCATGATTCCCTATTGGTTCATATTTTTTGCATAGTCATGAATCTTTGTTTTTGTACCGTTCTTCACGCTTAATCGCTTATAGTAGCCTACTTGGTCATCAAACACACACTCCTGGTAACACTTTTACAAAGCTATCCTCACGTTCCCTCTTACCTTCCGATCATAGTAGAGTGCTGTTGGACAGCTGCCTCCAAGAGACGCTCTAAGATTGTCCACTCCCCCATTGTCATTCATTTGGAGATGATAGCACACCGTGCACCGTTCTTGTGGAATCTATTGCTTCCCGTGTTTTACTCTCCGGATGCTCCAATATCTGGAGAATGCATTGGTAACGCGCCGCTACTGCGTGCGCTCCTGCTTCTGCCTTCTGCTCCTCTGCTAAAAGATCACTTGACAACCCAAGCACTTTTGCTCGCGCGAGTCTGAGTACTGATTAGTAGAAAGCCCTCCTATTTTCGATGGCGCGCGCTGGATGGTAGGTCGCGCGGTGCTTGAATGGAGGGCAGTTGAGTGTAGTGTTGGTAGGGCGATAATCCTGCTTTAAGTAGACTCCTCTTGCGTCACGCGCAGACAGGTTGGTGGAGAGAAGCCAGAGACACCAGGTTTTTTTGGTTTCATTATTCTCCAAGTATACTGCGGGAATGTAGCAGATTCATCTTTAATAAAAAATAATTGGTTATAAGATCAAATCATGGGGGATGTCTGTCGGCTGTAAGACAACCACATGACAGTGACAGAACGAAAAGTGGCAACAGAGGAAGAGACAGAACGAGAGAGAGAGAAGCGAGATAGAGCGAAAGAGGGGATGGGATTGGAAGAGAGAGTATTGTATTGTTTCAGTCTGTATTCTGTAGACTATTATTGTTGTCATGTTGGAGGGAGGGAAGGTAGATTGAAACATGCCTGCAGGGCTAAGCGATTAATCGGTTTCCGACCCTTGATCCTACACATGATATCCTTTTCCGATGGCTATAGAGTCTGTTTAAAAACAAATGTTTTCAGCTTGTCTGTTTTAGGCAAAACAGCAATCTATTGTCTTACAGTAGCCTAAGCATTTGTTGGTATGAAAACCGCGACAATTCCTTAGATAAACGTGGCTGAGAGAGTACTAGGTTGAGTAATCGCTTTAAAGGGTTGCCTCAGAGGGCCTAAAGATAGCAACAACTTAGTTAGTGGACTGCCGCGAGTAGTTATTGTTTTATGCACCACATTGTATTGTAAGTCCTCCTGTATGCTGTGTGTGACTAGACTTAACATGTAGGCCTATGTGACTAATCTTCCAACTAGGAATTAGTTCGCCTGTATTGTCAATGGATAGCCTATGAGTAAACATGTATGTTTCTCCTGAATTATGAAACAACAATAACCAATATGCTCCCTCAGGTTGAGAGCAGATGATAGATGAGATGAAGACGGTGTACAAGATCCTGGATCTTGTTTATTTATAAAGCAAATAAATATCCACATAATATAAATTAATTCATGAACCAGTAAAATAACCATATTTGAATTGCACTTGGGTGTAAACAAACTGTACATCATTGACGAAACATAAAACAGGGGCCTGCCTGGATTTGTAACCTCCAGATCGATCGTAAACAACATATCCATAGGCGGAGCGGAGGTAATGTACAGAGTTTTTGCCAATGGGGCGCTTAAAAGCATTTCCTGTGAACGATGGAGGGGCCTGCCTCGTCGTACTCCTGCTTGCTGATCCACATCTGCTGGAAAGTGGACAGGGAAGCCAGGATGGAGCCGCCGATCCAGATGGAGTACTTACGCTCGGGGGCAGCGATGACCTAGAGCAGGGGTGTCAAACTCATTTTAGCTCAGGGGCCACATGGAGGAAAATCTATTCCCAAGTGGGCCGGACCGGTAAAATTATGGTATATATAACTTAAAAACAACAACTTCAGATTGTTTTCTTTGTTTTAATACTATCAACATAAAACATAAAGCTGGAGCCTGAGGACAGTGTGTCCAAAATAGTACAAGCACAACATCACTATTAATCATAAAACACCTCAAGTTTATTTGAAAATTCTAAAGAAAAAGAACACACAAACACACAATGCCTCAGTGATTCACAGAACTGTTTCACAGATCACAGAACTATATCAGGGTGTCATTTCTCAGGCAGAAATGTAGATACAAATAATGAAATCCTGTTCCCCAAACAAGTGCAAGAACCACAGAGTCAAGAATAGGTTAAATATACAAATAAAATAAAATCAATTAAAAACAATAGCACATCAACATAAAAACATATAAACATAAAGCTGGAGCCTGAGGACAGTGTGTCCAAAAGCACAATATCACTATTAATCATAAAACACCTCAAGTTATTTGAAATTCTTAGGACAAACAACACACAAACACACAATGCCTCAGTGATTCACAGAAGTATATCACAGATCACAGAACTATATCAGGGTGTCTCATGCAGCACTTTAAGTGGGGTTGCATAGTTTATTTGACTCCTGATACCTGGCATCTTTTAGCTTTCACCAGCGCATCAATATCAGGCGTCACATCCTGAGTGGCAGCCAACTTCAGGATGTGATTCAAGTGCTTGTGCGTGAGCCTTGAGCGCAGCTTTGTTTTATTTATGCTCATTACAGAGAACTTGCTCACAAAGATATGTGGTTCCAAACATGCACAACAGTTTTGCAGCGAGGGCTGTCAAGTTGGGGTAACCTGGCAAGAGATTCTGATAAAATGTGTCCAAGCCAGCTGCGGCAAATTTGCCCTTCAAATCCGAGTCACACTGCAAGTCTATTATTTCAAGTTGGATGCTGACGGGCAGATCAGAGGGATTCACGGTGAATGGCGAACAAAAAACTTTGAAGTCTTTCTCCAGTTCACCAAAAATCTGAAAGCGTTGCTCAAACTCCCTTAACAGTCCCGTTATTGTATCTTTGAACCGCTTCATGTCTGCCACACAGTGGCGGCTCCTGAAAAAATTCTCAGGGGGGGCAATTTTTCTGATGATTTAGGTGACCTACACACATTTTAAAAAAGATATGTCCAGCAACAACATGAAGACAGGGGCAGCATATAAGTCAATACCAGAAGCATTTATTGACTGATCTCAAAAGTGTTGGCTTACCAGGGTTGGTGGAGCCCTCAGTTTCATCTTTGCCTCGCAAAGCTAACTCAAACACTCCGCAAAACTTCACACACTGGATTAGCCGGCTGAGGATGTGGCGGTTCTTGCTAATGTCGTAGTAAATATATTTGTTATAGTGAATATGGAATATGATATGTTGAGTAAAATGTTGTGCTAAGATCTATTTAGGTCAGGAGCTGGTTATAAGTTCTGTTCCTATCCAATAACAATGGACAAAAGGGTCCTATCTTGTCAGCCTTGTCAGCAGGTGGCCAAGGACAACACCCACGCCATAGGCCTCTCAGTTCTTCCAACTCACGAGTTCTTGCTCTGAGGACACACACACACACACACACAAACACACACACACACACACACACATCATCACTGTTAAACACACACACACACAGACACACACACACACACACACACACACACACATCATCACTGTTAAACACACACACACACACACACACACACAAATCCCCTCTCTTAGGCTGAACATTTGAAGACAGAGAACCCGACTCAGAGCCAATGCAACAGTGACACTAGCCTGGAGGGGACCTCGCCCAACTCATCAGGACCAATCAGAAGATCAGAACTACTAGATTCAACCTACTTCATTTATTGCATAAAATGTCTGCACACAATGTTTCGGGGCTCTCTTCAGATAATAATAATAATAATAATAATAATAATAATATGCCATTTAGCAGACGCTTTTATCCAAAGCGACTTACAGTCATGCGTGCATACATTTTTGTGTATGGGTGGTCCCGGGGATCGAACCCACTACCTTGGCGTTACAAGCGCCGTGCTCTACCAGCTGAGCTACAGAAAGTGGATACTCATGGATGCGCATCGCAATTGTAAAATGTCAACACAATTGGAGACACGACGTCATTTTTGGAGACATGTTATTGACAGTAAACTATTGTAGATGCGACTGCTAACTAAATAAAACATTTTAGCTGGCTAGCTAATCATCTTAGCTAAATGTGGGGCAAACAATTCAGTTATTTACCGTTAATTTTAGGGATTGGGGTGAAAGAAATCGAGTTACATAGTGATACTTTACGATATACTGTATTGACAATATCGCAATATTTTAGCGCTAGTTGGCTGTACCTGCACCAAAACACCATTATTGTTCCTTCATAGCTTGTTCTCAATCTTTTCACATTGGGAGCCAATTTGTTTTCAGCACTTTTATTTCCATGACTGATCAAAACTCGTTCTCATGGCTTTCTGATCCCTCTGCAACAGACATATGGTGCGCAATAAAATCACAGTATCGAATCGCAATACGTATAGAATCATGAGACTCGCAATGCATATATCTTATCGTGAGGTTCCTGGCAATTCCCAGCCCAAGTTCATTTGCCACAACAAATCTCTTCGCTAGCAAACGCGATGTCTTCTCCAAAACGGCAATGTGTCTCCAGCAATGTTTACTTTTTTGACGTTCTATGGCATCTCCACTTTCCAAGCATATATGACCACATGTAATATTTTGGTAAGTGATGCAAATAGTGAACTATGTAGGGCCAGGATGTAAAATATATTTAGCTGCAGCAATTTCTCTTATCTGATATGGTAAGTAATGGGGCTTAATGTATAGCTCCCTAAGAGTTTGACGAACGGGTCCGTGCACGCGATTCCAGATATCTTTACCTCTGAATAAACTGCCTTTATTATACCATATCCACCCTGTCCAAAGTCTCTACTTGGTCTCAGTTCTCCAGTAAACTTGTGATTATCAACACTAACCTCATCGTTGTGGCGGCAGACAGTTAGCCTGTATCCCTCATCCAGTTGAGTGGCAATGTTCTTTTTTCGTTCGTACCAATTTTTGGAAAATCCTCGGGTGTAGGACTTTCCGCCTTTAGTAGAAACCTGTTGAATTATTAAATTTGGTCTGGGAGGTCGTAATTGTTTCGTTGCCAATTTATCTTGATTTGTTCGCCGACAAAAAGGAACTTCTTTCAAAGAGACAATCGAGTTGCACTGCCATTTTGACAGTGATAGTGAATTGATTGATGAGGCTACCCGCTCAGAAAGCCCTCAGAAACCCATAGAGATTGTATTGAAAGCTCTGATATTTGAAAAAAATAGATTTTACATGGGAGTCTATGAGAGACTTCTGGGCGATTTTCAACCTGACTGAAATCGCCCCAAAAGGGGGGGGGGGGGCATTTGAAGCACGACTTTAGCCTGATTGGACATTTAGTGGCAGATCAGACCAGACGTCTAGATTACAACACTGATAACTACTGTTGCCGTGATATAATTGATTAGGAAAAAAATCCCTTCCTTTTCCCGTTTGGCAGTGCGTCGCCCATATCGCCCTATTGAACACACCGCCCCTTTTGAACACACCGCCCCTGCTGCCACATGTTGGGTCGCGCACACATTTTTCAGACAGGGGAAGTGAGCTGCATCACCACCGGCGAGTTGCGTCTCCCACAATGACAGCTTCAACTTGAAAGAACGTATGCTTTCATAATACTGCGTGGCAACTTTGTTGCGCCCTTGCAGCTGTTTGTTCAAGTTATTCAGGTGCTCTGTAACATCCACCATAAATGCAAGGTCCTGCATCCATTCTGCGGAATTAAATTCTAACACTGGTTTGCCCTTTTCTTCCATGAACTGTTCAATTTCTTCTCGTAAATCAAAGAAACGCCTCAGCACAGCACCTCGGCTTAACCATCTTACCTCAGTGTGGTATGGCAGGCCATAGATGTGGTCTTTCTCTCTGAGAAGGCTGTCAAACTGACGGTGATTCAGGCTTCTGGATCGGATGAAATTAACAGTTTGGATGACCACCTTCATGACATTATCCATCTTTAATGACTTGCAACACAAAGCCTCCTGGTGCAAAATACAGTGAAAAGTCCAAAAATCACGTCCTCCATTTGCAGATTGCACTTTCTCTCTGAACTTTGTCACAACGCCTGCTTTTTTCCCGATAATTGAGGGCGCACCATCTGTAGCCAGGCTGACAGCGCGGGACCAGTCCACTCCGACCCTGTCCAGCGCGCCGACGAGTGCAGTGAATATATCAGCTGCTGTCGTTGTATCTGTCATCGGCACCAACTCCACGAACTCCTCGGTGACGGTCTATGTGTCATCAACTCCGAGGATGAAAATGGCCAGTTGTGCAACATCTGTAATGTCCGTGCTTTCATCAATTGCAACCGAAAACGCAATAAATGACTTTACTTTTTGCTTCAACTGGCTGTCCAAATCCACTGAAAGATCGGAAATCCTGTCTGTAACTGTGTTTCTTGTCAGGCTGATATTTGCAAAAGCCTGGTGGTTTTCAGGGCACACAATCTCTGCTGCCTTCATCATGCATGTTTTTACAAATTCACCCTCACTAAATGGTTTTGAAGCCACTGCGATTTCATTAGCAATGAGGTAGCTAGCATTCACTGCAGCGTCACTGATGTCTCGGCTGTGAGTAAACACAGACTGCTGTTTCTTCAGACCCACCAACAGTTCATTCACCTTCTCTCTTCTCCGCTGTCCTTGAAAGTTGTCATATTTGTCGGCATGAAGACTCACATAGTGGCGACGAAGGTTATATTCTTTCAGCACTGCAACATGCTGTGAACACACCAAACATACAGCTTTCCCATTCAATTCCGTGAATAAATAGAAGGATGACAATTTTTCTTGGAACACTCTGCACTCTGCGTCGACTTTTCTCTTTTTTGACAGAGACATATTGGGGCAATGAGGGTGCCAAAGCACATAATGTTAAAAGTAGAAGCCGTAATAAATATCGCGGGCAAAACAAAGTAGCTCATCCGGACTGGCTGCACTTGCTTGACCTATTTGCTCTGCCCCGGTATAAACAGTTTGCTTGCTTAACACAATTGCTATTGCGCCATCCAGTGGACACAATTGGAACAGCAGTTTCATTTATTGACAAATTGCAGCTCATTTTTATACTTTACAAAATCATCTCGCGGGCCGGATTAAACCCGTTTGCGGGCCTGATCCGGCCCGCGGGCCGGATGTTTGACACCCCTGATCTAGAGGAAGGGGAAGAAGGAAACCAATAAGCAAAAGTCCTCTCAATATGTACTGTATTATAATGCGTCATACAGTTCATTATTTGTGTTACCGTGATTGGTCATTAGTAACACTGTGAGATTGTGGTCAGGATGGTCTTAGATGTTCAGTTTGTGGTCTTCAGTAAGCAGGTGAGGCTTGAGAATAATATTTACCTTGATCTTCATAGTGCTGGGAGCCAGGGCGGTGATCTCCTTCTGCATACCGTCAGCAATACCAGGGTACAAGGTGGTACGCCGGTCAGGACATTGTTGGCATCCTTATGGATGTCAATGTCACATTTCATGATGCTGTTGTAGGTGGTCTCATGGATACCAGCAGACTCCATGCCTGGTGAGATAGAAGAGAAAATATTGTAAGTGAATGCTCTGGATTAGAAGTCACCTATGTAGGCCTAACTGGTGCTGAAAAGGACAAATCCCTCACCTCTTAAATAAAAACATATGTTTGGCAGTAGTTGGTATACTGTCTTATGTAGCTGTTATAAAGGCTATATGAAATCATACAGGGGGCATTTTCTTGTCTTTTAAAGAAGTCAAAATGTGTTGATGTTATGAGTTACACAACGCTTCTAAAATACCTACCGATGAAAGAAGGCTGGAAGAGGGTCTCGGGGCAGCGGAAACACTCGTTGCCGATGGTGATGACCTGACCGTCAGGCAGCTCGTAGCTCTTCTCCAGAGAGGAGGAAGAGGCAGCAGTGGCCATCTCGTTCTCAAAGTCCAGGGCCACGTAGCACAGCTTCTCCTTGATGTCACCCACGATCTCACGCTCAGCTGTTACAATAGAAGATTAAAAGTTGTTATAGTTTGGTCAAAATGGTGAATAACAATAAATGACCATTCAATATCAAACACACTGTACGCTCCTATCATATAGGCTCAGGAATTACGGACTCACCAGTGGTAACAAAAGAGTAGCCACGCTCAGTCAGGATCTTCATCAGGTAGTCAGTGAGGTCGCGACCGGCCAGATCCAGGCGCATGATGGCGTGTGGCAGAGCGTAAGCCTCATAGATGGGGACGTTGTGGGCCACACCAGCACAATACCTATAATATGAGGAAGAATAATATGTAAACCATATAAATAGAATAGAACAGCTTTATGTGCATCTTAATGGTGTAAATTATGTTTCATAATGAAAGGTTGCATGGGATTCAATATTGCACCTCTTAAATGTAACTGCATCTGCATGGCATGTTATGGAACAGAGTATTTCTCCTCTGCCCGCTTTTCACCTGTAGTACGACCAAAGGCGTAGAGGGACAGCACGGCCTGGATGGCCACGTACATGGCGGGCACGTTGAACGTCTCAAACAGGATCTGGGTCATCTTCTCCCTGTTGGCCTTGGGGTTAAGGGGGGCCTCAGTGAGCAGGGTGGGGTGCTCTTCGGGGGCCACGCGCAGCTCGTTGTAGAAGGTATGGTGCCAGATCTTCTCCATGTCGTCCCAGTTGGTGATGATGCCATGCTCGATGGGGTACTTGAGGGTCAGCATACCTCTCTTGCTCTAGGCCTCGTCTCCTACATAGGAGTCCTTCTGACCCATACCCACCATCACACCCTGTAGAGGAAGAAAGGAAACAAACTTAGTCAAAACCCAATTCCCCAAAGTCAAACAGAGGGCCAGATAATTGTAAGCTACAATAGCATAGGACATTCATTAATTAATTCACAATTAAATGGTCTAGTGGTAAGGTAAAATACAATTTTAAGCAGATTATCAAGGGTAATGCATAATGTATGGACAATTAAGTCTGGAAAACGTACAGTTTGAAGGATGCATCCTCATGAGTGTTTCATTGCTTTCATTCTGTGGAGCTTACCTGATGACGGGGGCGACTAACGATGGAGGGGAACACAGCGCGAGGTGCATCATCTCCGGCAAAGCCAGCCTTCACCAGACCGGAGCCATTGTCACACACAAGGGCAGTAGTCTCATTGTCGTCACACATGATGTCAGCTGGGTTTCTGTTTTGACAAAACGTACATTAAGGCTAAGTATAGGCCTACAGATGTATGATCTTAATTTTAGCCAGTTTGCTACAGAAGGAAAATAATCCTGCAACAACAGGAAATGTGAATTATTATGTGGATTGCAATTAATGGACATTTTTGTAGGGGATGATACATTTTTCGCAAGGGAAAATCAAGTCTGACATTTCAAGGTGGAAATTACAAACTTCAAATATAGTACAAGTTTTACATTTTCTGAATTGCAGGAAGGTTATCCTGCAACTGGGGATCAAATTAAGATCCTACATCTGTACAGGTCAAATAGGCCTACAGTATAGGCCTTCAGTATAAGGGCCATACAAGTCTAACAAACTTGTTTTAAGTCATTATTTATTTAAATTTCTTTTAAAACCCTAGAGTGGGCAGCACAATGACAATTGATTTATTTTTCATCTAATAATAATAATGATCTGTAGATTATCATTCAATATGATGAATAATCAATTTCGCTTTTAGGTCTGAATCGGATGGAAAACAGACGAACAAAAATAAAATACAAATATGTGCAACATTTAGGCTACAACAGCTATTTATTTGTTCAATATCCAACAAAAAAAGAAGTGTCTTGAAAATTAAAGCTGTCAAAGTTTAAATTAAAGCCTATTAAATCCAGTTGTCCGGTTGCCAACTAGAGAAGTCCAATTCAACATCTTTCAAGTGACTCCAATCTAGGCCTTAGTAAATAAGTTCTGTCTGTTTCCCGTAGTAGAGTGACAAGTTGTCAGGTACTCACTAAGTAGCCTGTTCCTCTGAATGAGCAGCGATACTGGAGAGGGCAGACACCAAATTATACTCTACTAGTGCCACTACGCCCCGCGACCCCTTTCTCCTTATTTGGTAGCCCCTGCGCCATTGAGAGCGGAGTGGCCATGAATGGAAGGGCGGGAAGAACAGAGCAGAAGCTCGCGCGCTGACTCCTGAAGGCCCATGTATGGAAGGAGACCCGCGCGGACAGACACAGCCGTGTGACGATATCTGGATGTATTCCCTCTATTTCTAACGCGTGAAAGTGAGTAGACACAAAGAATAATGTTATTTGATGGCTTAGGTTTCATTAGCAGATGCGTTGTCTCCTCGTATAGGGCTCCCGAGTGGCCCAGCGGTCTAAACCACTGCATCTCAGTGTTAGAGGTGGCACTACAGACTCTGGTTCGATTCCAGGGTGTATCTCAGTGATTGGGAATCCGTTAGGGCGGATAATAATTGGCCCAGTGTAGTCTGGGGTAGGCCATCATTGCAATGAAGTATTTATTCTTCACTGACTTGCCTAGTTAAATAAACATAATAGAATTGACCATGGATTTAGGTTTAGGCCTATATTTTCAGGGATGGGTTATGTGAGGGTAAAAAAAATATGTGAATCATTTACATTTCACATTTTAGTCATTTAGCAGACGCTCTTATCCAGAGCGACTTACAGTTAGTGAGTGCATACATTTTTTAAATTATTTTTTTTCCATACTGGCCCCCATGGGAAACGAACCCACAACCCTGGCGTTGCAAAAGCCATGCTCTACCAACTGAGCTACATCCCTGCCGGCCATTCCCTCCCCTACCCTGGATGACGCTGGGCCAATTGTGCGCCGCCCCATGGGTCTCCCGGTCGCGGCCGGCTACAACAGAGCCTGGATTCGAACCAGGATCTCTAGTGGCACAGCTAGTACTGCGATGCAGTGCCTTAGACCACTGCGCCACTCGGGAGGCCAACAACCCATCTTATTTTAGCAATGCCCTTTATTATGAATTATGAATTTAATGTTCAGTGTATAAGACTCCATCCCTACTAATGTGTGTGTGTGTGTTTGTGTGTGTCACTGTCTGTGACTAATATGTGTGATAAGGAGAGCATGGTTGAGGGCTTGCGTCATCCATCCAGTTTAGCCTATGAGTTGGTGATTCCTCTTCATGTAGGACATATGTTCACCAGTGGAGGCTGCTGAGGGGAGGACGGCTCATAATAATGGCTGGAATGGAGTGAATGGAATGGTATCAAACAGATGAAAACCATGTGCTTGATGCCATTCCATTCACTCCATTCCGGCCATTATTATGAGCCGTTCTCCCCTCAGCAGCCTCCACTGGTGTTCACACATGTAATTTCCATAATATGAATAAGTTCAATATGCTTCAATATGAGCCGTTGAATGTCCCAGGGAGACACTAGAGATGGATGAAATGGATTGGCTTTTATCTATATGCATGCAGCCATATATAAAGGAATATGGAATTAGTAAGACCTGAAAGCGGACAATCTATGATCCGCTTGTGACATTCAATTGAAATAGATAGGAAATGATGAATGAGCCACATTTCATAAGTTATAATTGCACTCACTCTCTATCCCTCCAACAGTTGAGGCATATCATTTGTCATCTTTATGTTTCCTTGGGATGAGTCATATACGTACATTTGAATATGTAGCCATGGAGTACTTTAGTGTTGGGTGAGCATTGGGTGATTGAGTGGGCAGGATAGCTTCACTTCTCTTCAAGTGATCACCTGAACTCTGATCAGATCCCTAGTCATTCAACCCACCTTAACATACACATATACAGCTCTGGGGTGAAGTTCCCCCTAGGTAGGCTTACAAATCTAGGATCAGCTTTCCGTCCCCCATTCCCAACCTTTGCCATTTAGTGGGGAAATGCAAAACTGACCCAAGCTCAGCATCTAGGGGCAACTTCACCCTACCATCACTATCCCATATACAAACACACCCACACACCAGATATGCAAATGATGCTGACCGAGAGGCTATTCACTTTAAAATGATCAGTGCTGTGACTTCATATGGTGAAAGCAGCTGTCCAAATGGCCAGAATGGGATAGAGCAAGGCCATGGTCACTAGGGATTATAGTCTGGCTGGCACAAGACTCTCCCTTCCTCACACGTTACATTCTAACTCTTACAGTGTTTTTCACTATAGTAAATACATCACTGCAACATCAAGTTATGCATTTGTGCCGTGTATGTTTATCCTGAGTCCCTGGACGTATATGTATTTTATTGTAGGTGTAAATGCATTTTTGGTACTGTGGCGATCGCAGCCAGATTGACCTCTTCCTATCCTCTGACACTGGGGGAAGTCATGTGACTAGATTATGTAACAGACAACCACTTGTGCTTTACCCATAATCCCACCCACATTCTCTGTCTGAGCATCTGTCAACTGGCTCGGATCTTCTGGCCTGGGGCAAATGGTTGGGGGTTGGGAGGAGGGGGGTCGTGGTTAGAAATAACTGGGATGTTTATAACTCTGCTATGCTTAACATGTCAAAAAGTCAGATTTATGATTAGCTTGTTTCACTGTATTTTGGTTGCAAAACAACTAGCCTGTGAAGTGTCCGTTTCTAAAATTGATTTTGAAAGGCAAAACGAAAACGAAAATGTAAATGTAAATGAAAAACCTTTAGCGCACAAGTTGAAAAACTTAAATTACAGTACACTTCAAACTCACAGCTTTCATTGTACTGATGAAAGTATAAGTATGGGCATGCAGAGGCTACCAATCTACAGTAATCTACTGTATGTCCCTTGTGGTTCTAGTCATTTCTAATAATTTTAGTGGGTGAACTTCTTAAACCTAATCAGCATTAAACTTAATTTATTTAAAATAAGATATAATTCTGAATGATCCTAGTACTCTATGAAGTAAGGCTTTAAAAAAAATATTTCTTAATCCTTTCCTATGTGCTAACTTTTTTAAATCTTTCATACTGTATGCTTGTTTTTAATCTCTTAATGCTATGTATATTTTTCATATATTTGTAACTTCACTGGCTCCAAGCAACTGTGTATTGTTTCATTTCCACACTACAATTTGTTCTAACTCTATACATTGATTACTGGGTTCTGGGTTTATTATACATGTTGAGCATGATTCAACAGTAGAAACCATAGTCTGCAAGTGTAAACTACAGTTTGAAACCAACGTTTTGTGAACAATATTATATAGGCATAGTAGTCATGTTAGAATACACTTGAAAAAGTAGTTCCGGAGAAATTCTTCATATCCTGCTCTGCTTTGCATGCTGTGGGGGGGATCTGCATACATGAATGTATTAACCTTTGGTATTAACTTAGGCACATCCATATTCATAAAGCCTTAATTATGCACAAGTGTAGGTGTCCCTTTGTTGCCCAAAAACTCATATATTAGCTAAGCCTGAGTAAGAGTTTGTTTGTTTTGACCTCCCCACCCATATCTCTTATACTGTAAACACATCTTGTATACGTTATGTGCTGCTGCTATGGCAGATGGTAACTAGATTTGTTAAGTGTTGGAATGGTGAACTGACCAACTCTGTATATTTATGTTTGTCTAGATATACTGTAAATACAGTTCATCATAATACTCAACAAACATGACCTATATGCAGCATGAATATTCTCTACTAACGGTATGTTGCTGCTTCTTATCATTCCCTCCTGTCTGCAGTCTTGTCCATTATCCCCCTCCTTTCTTTGACCCTTCAACACCTCCATGGGCCTTTCACTGTATCCAGCTTCATTTGGACATTTATTTAGACTCACCAATCATAAACATTCCGCAGATACTGTATTTCAGGCATAAACAACCAAAACACAGCTAGCGTTACTGTTAATACAATCTGAAGTGTGTTTTTATTTCGGTAGATACAGTTACAGAACTGGAACTGTCTATAGAAAAGTTTGTGGTCATATGCACATCTTTAAAAACGTCAGTGCTTTGCTAATAAAGAATACTTTTAACTGTACCATCAGTAAACTGAGCTGGCGTTGAGGAAACGTTAGACCGTCACTGTCTGTGTTCAGTTACCCAACGTTTCAATGTTGCTTTTGGCAATCTTACCATGCAGTCTTACTATCCATGTTCTGCCTATCTTTGGATGAAATATGAACAACATGGGTCATATCTCACTAGCCTGGTCCCAGATCTGTTTGTGCTGTATAGCCAAC